GCTATAGGGAACTTTCTGGGTGTCTGGCTGGTGAGTCTTGCCCACATGCTCAGGGTTTAGCTGATCGCCATATTTGGGGTCAGGAAGGAATTTTCCTCCAGGGTAGATTGGCAGAGGCCCTGGAGGTTTTTCGCCTTCCTCTGTAGCATTGGGCACAGATCACAGCTGAAGGACTCTCTGCATGTTGGGGCCTTCAAAGTATTGGAAGGCTTCAATATCTGAGACATATCGCCTTCCTCTGTAGCATGGGGCGCAGATCACAGCTGGAGGACTCTCTGCATCTTGGGACCTTCAAAGTATTTGAAGGCTTCAATATCGGAGATATAGGTGAGAGGATTATTCTAAGGGGGTGGGTGAGATTTTGTGGCCTGCACTGTGCAGGGGGTCAGACTAGATGATCATAATGGTCCCTTCTGACCTTAAAGTCTATGAAAAGCAGGCACCCAGCTAAATAAAAACATGCTGGACCATGGAAATTGCCAGACTAGAGAGGTTCAACCTGTACTGTGTAGGGCCCCATAAATCCTATGGACAGTCCTGTGTAAGAGCAAGTTTATCTTTGTGATTATTGTGACTACTTTTATTTGTAAATTTCCAAGTGGCATAGGCACCAACTGCATGGATGATTGAGGGCTGGAACGCTCAGGGGAAACGTTAGTGGGCACCTCCTTCTGCACTCTCTACTCACACCTCCCATGCGCCGGCAGCCCCATGCTTACCAACTCCTCCTCCTCCTCCCTCACATTGCTTCTGGAGTGAAACGAACAGCTGATTCATGGCATTCATGCTCCAGGAGGGAGGAGGATAAGTCCTGATGGTTGGGGGAATAGGTAGGATGGGAGTTGAGCAGGATAGGGGGAAGATGCAGGGCAGGGACAAAACTTAGGGTTTGGAGTGGGGGGGTGGGGTGGACCTGGTGCGGAGGGGTGAGTCAAGCAGCCTCCCGGGAAAATGAGAAGTCAGCACCTATGTCAAATGAAATGATGGGAACAGCTTATAAAGGCAAAACTTTCTGAAATTTTGGAAAGTTGATGGGCCTAAAGCAGCGAGGAGTCCTGTGACACCTTATAGACTAACAGAAGTGTTGGAGCATAAACTTTTGTGGGCAAAGACCCACTTCGTCAGATGCATGTAGTGGAAATACCAAGTGAATATTCTCTTGGTATTCACACCTCCAGATCAGCTACTAGAAGTGGGCCTCATCCTCCCTGATTGGATCCACCTTGTCATCTCTAGCCTGATTCTGGCCTGCATATTTATACCTGCCTCTGGAAATTTCCATTACATGCATCTGACGAAGTGGGTCTTTGCCCACAAAAGTTTATGCTCCAACACTTCTGTTAGTCTATAAGGTGCCACAGGACTCCTCACCGCTTTTGCAGATTCAGACTAACACGGCTACCCCTCTGATTCTTGACACCATGCAATGGGCCTAAGTCACTTTTGAAAATAGGACTCTGGTTCCTAACTCACTTTGCTGTTGTTCAGTATATGTAGATTTAGACTCATAGACTCATAGACTTTAAGGTCAGAAGGGACCATTATGATCATCTAGTCTGCCCCCCTGCACAGTGCAGGCCACAAAATCTCACCCACCCCTCCTAGAATAATCCTCTCACCTATATCTCAGATATTGAAGCCTTCAAATACTTTGAAGACCCCAAGATGCAGAGAATCCTCCAGCTGTGATCTGTACCTCATGCTACAGAGGAAGGCGAAAAACCTCCAGGGCCTCTGCCAATCTACCCTGGAGGAAAATTCTTCCCGACCCCAAATATGGCGATCAGCTAAACCCTGAGCATGTGGGCAAGACTCACCAGCCAGACACCCAGAAAGTTCTCTATAGTAACTCCTATCATCCCTCCATTGACCTATTCCCACTGATAATGAATTTAGCTCTCGCTACCTTTTTTTTTAACTTTGGAGTGTCAAAAGCACTCAGTGTTGGTTTAATTCTACTTCAAAGTAGGAATAAGAGCCTCTGGAAAAGGGCGCTTTTTCCGGAGGATCGGGGCCAGTGTAGACGCTCTTTTCCGGCTTTTCTAAAAGCCGGAAAAAAGCGGCGGACATTTTTATTTAAATGCCGCGGGGGATATTTAAATCCCCCGCGGACTTCCCTACTACGATAGCTGAAATTAACATGCCCCTTCCGGAAAAGGGGCCAGTGTAGACGAGCCCATACTGATTGCAGTGGAAATAGGGCTGTTAGGACAGAGTAAAACCTGAGTAAGCATTTCTGAATGTTTTTAAACAACTGAGTGGTTTGAATATATACCATAAAATCTTGTATGCATCTTGCTTTGTAATGTATCATTGGATGCCTCGGGAGGAATTCTAATGACAATAATTCTTTTTTGAGATTTTAGGAACTGATTTGATTTGAACTGGCATCTTATGGTAATTCATTTAAGTACTACAGTATTAGGAGAAGCAAGATGAGGCAATCTATTTCCACCAGTAACTATAAAATATTCTATGGCCATCTCTCAGCTGTTTAAAATGATTTAAAAAAATAAATCCTTATTTGGGGGAAGAAAATAACATTCAGCATTCAAGCTCAGTTTGGGAAAGATCGGAACTGTTTAGGGAATTACATTTTCATTTGGCAGTTCATTGCTGATGCTAATATAATTTTAATGGTGTTTCTTCTCTGTGCATAAAAGTAAGAGCACTGTTTTATTATATTCTTCAGAAAGTCACGTAACATTAAATTACTTGTCTTGGTGGCAATTTAGACATCTATTTAAAAAAACACATCTAACACAATTATTGAAGATGAAAAGTACTTCCCTGCTCTTCCACTTCTCTAAATATGTATTCCACAGGGATTATGGTATCTAAGCACCTCAGTCATTGGCAGCTTGAGTCTGATGGAGCACTGCAGATGCTACAGAAATAACAACAATAAATAATGAGCAGAGGCAGTGTTCCCTATAAGCTGTACTCTTGTGCAGCCACTAAGAAGAGATTCTAATGCCACAGCTGATTAGCAAGGTACCTAGATTATGTGTTTCTGTTGCTGGTACACATTCACATATGCCTTGGTGCATATAACAAAATTTATTCCACACGTGACTGGAAAAATCCACACATGGAAAACATTAGAGGGAATCACTGTTGCCCTTTAATTATTTTATTTATTTATTTTGATTTGAAATAATTTAAAAAGACTCCTATACAAGATTCTCGGGGTCAGATCCTCAGATGTACTTAGTCTCCTAACTTGGATTAGCATCCCAAAGAATCAAAGTGGATGTTCATGGCATAGGCTCCTAACACATAATTAATTGTTCTTGAGGACCCCTGCAGAAACAAAACAAAAAGCCCTCCCTTTCCATCCATTCTTCACTCTGGGATTTCACAATTTGTATAATAAATAATAAAATGAAAGACTGTAAAATTGGAGTATGAATTTCAGATTTTGGCATTAACATCAGTCTTCATCACATCGGCAATGATTTGGTCAAGCCTTTAACCACGTGTTTACCCTTCAGCACATGCTTATATCCCATTGATTGCAATGGAGGGATCCATGATAGCGCGAAAGTTAATTATGTTTACAAGGGCTTTGCTGAGTGGGAATGGACTGAAAGACTTTGCTGAATCAGGGACATACAAACTGAGGTCCTGAATGCATGAGGCTTGCATTAGTCTAACTCTTTTCACACATGGTTAGGTTTCTTTGGACAAATGAATTATACTTGTTTCAGAAAGGCTGTCGTAAATCCCTGCAATTTCCTGCTGCTCACAAGCTCCAGGAGAAGTCCGTAACAGGGCCAAAACCAGTTGGGCCTGCGGAGGTGGTATAAATGGTAAACACTCAGTCCAGTCTAAAAGTGGTGTGAATTACAGGATGACCAGTGAGGGCCTGTGTCATTGCGTGTACATACCCCTTACTGACTCAGCAACCACAGAGTTAATGCAGCCTCTCTTGGCCAGTGCTAATTTGCAACCTCCTGCCAGGGAACTCCTGCCAGCAAGCTGCTCAGAGACAGCACCTTAGGAGGAGACATGGACTCGCATCCTAAAGTTGGGGTGGAGGGCTTGGGGAGAAGGAAGGCACGCCGGGCACAACTGGAGCCATCACACACTGATTTAGTTTGTCTAACTTAAGGGCCCCAAGTTGGAACCCGGTGGAGCGGGCCGGCCTGGGTTCCCTACCACCTTTCTGACGAGTGGACGGGGTTTTCAGACCTCCTAGGCACCAGACATTAACTGACAGCATTGCCAGACTGAGTGAACTCTGGTGAAATGTTCAACCTGGCCGGAGGGGGCAGCATTGTATCAACACACTGACTCACATCAGCCTGCTACTTGAAAAAGGACACTGATGTCCGAGCTACACTACAAGGGAAGATCAAAGTTACATAGCTGGAGCTGATGTATCTTTCTTCGATCCCCATCCTCACAGCTCCTGTTGGCTTCCCTTACTCCTTGTGAGGAGTAGGAGTAGGAGTACTAGTGCTGATGGGGGTGCCCTTTGAGTTCAATCTAGCGGGTCTATACCACACCCACTAAATCAAATCCCAGAAGATTGACCACAGCAACATTGATCTTCCATGTAGTGTAGACCTACCCTGAGAGCCTGAAAGGGTGAAGATATAATTCACCCAAGGAACCATGTAGGAGTCACATTTTCTCTCATCTCATAATTGTGAAATAGGGCTGGGTGCTTGCTGGACATTTGATTACTGTGCTCCATCCAGAGGTGGATCAATGAAGAGCCTCCTTGAGCACCTGTAACATGTTCATAAAGGCTTTTGGAAGCCACACAAACAGTGTTTCTTAAACTTTTCAAGACTGAGGAACACCAAACAATTTTTTTATGAGGAACACCAGGGATTTTTTGTTTAGAAAAAAAAAAGGGTTGGGGGAAAGTTATTGAGAAAAAAAAAGGATTGCCTGCCCCTTTAAAGGTGCCCATTTTGAATTCTATTGTTCTCCACGGCACACCTCCAACTACCTCATGGCACACTGGTGTGCCACAGAACACAGCTTAAGAAACACTGCACACAAAGGAAGGAGCTTTGTAATGATCAATGTTCAGTTCATTTCCAGGTTTTATCACTACGTTTTACACCTTGGAAACATCTTCTACGCTGACAGGGACATAAAAGTGTGCAGTTCAAAATCTATGCACCAACATGAGAGAAAATGAAAGTTTGGGCATCCAAGAAAACATCTCTATATTGCCAAGTAATCTCATTTTGCTTAGTAGGACTATTGTTTAGCTCTTTCAGTACATTTTTTTCTCAATGTAATTACATAGGTGTAATTGAGAGCCAAAATGGAAAATGATTTGAATAATATCCAAGGTAATATTAATTTACATTTTTGAATAATTTAGTCAACACATTTTGTCTCACGAAGGACCAGATTTTCAAATGCAGGTCGGACCTCCCTGGTCTAGCACCTTCGGGACCTGACTGGTCCTGAATAAGGGATTTTTCTGGACCAGTGGAGGTCATTTCAACCCATCCCCATGCAGGCTTCCTGGCTCCCCCTGCAGCCCAGCTAAGCCTCACACTGGCTCCCTGCTTCCCCTCCCCTCCAGCCCAGATGAGCCATGTGGCTCCAGCCCCTCCTCGCAGCCCCCTGGGAGCCCAACTGAGTTGTGCACTTGCTTCCTGCCCCCCTCCCTCCCTTTGAAGACCAACTGAGCTGTGCACAGACTCCCAGCCCCTCCACTGCCCTGCAGCATGCCGGGACTCTCTGATCCTGGAACATCCAGGGTCATGCCGGAGCACAGATTCAATATGTTAAAAATGTCAGCTGTCTAGTGGTTTAAATGGGGTGCATTGTCATACTGTGTAACAAATCAGGAGTACACATTGTGTAATTAATCACTGGATAATTCCAGGTTTACACTCGTATGATTCAACTGGACTCCATGGAGCTGCAACAGTGTCAAACTGGAGTAAATTGGCCCATTGTCGTCAATATAATTATCCATATAATTATCCATATAAAATAGGCACTGGCAAGAAAAAGTACTTCTGTTGTGTAATAAAGACAAATTTGGGGGAGATACATTGTAGCATGAAGCAAATACTGCTGAACTGAATCAAATGTTGGTGTAAATCCTAAGAATTTACTTAATTATTATGCAACAATTAAGCTTTGGAAGCAAACTAAGCGCTTCACTATGTCCAAATACTAAGATGGGGATCCATGTAACAAAGCTATCTAAATTCAATTAATTCTGCAACTAGAACCAACAGTGAACACAATGGAAACATTCAAACAGTTTCTCGATTGTTGAAATGCTCCTTTCGATGCTGCAAATGGAACTGAGAATCAATTTTATTTATCTCAGGAATTCATGCGGTACGAGCAACAAGAACTGGAAGCTAGAACAAATACAAACATGGGCAAGCTGAGCCATAGAGAAGAATTCTGAGCAGACAAAGGCTCTAACCTGAAGATGATGTGAAATAGGCACCACTCCATTGTCTTCAGTGGAATTATACCAAGGGGCCCAAGATCTCTGTAAGCCAATGAGTAAAGATTAGAGGTGGATTATCAGAAAACTTAGTTTCTTGCTATATGTGGTGATGGAGAAGGGTTGGAGAGGGGGTTGTTTTGGGGTTTTTTGTAGGGTAGGGTTTGTGGGGGTTTTTGTAGGTGCTTTGATTTTTGCTCTGATTGCATTCACATTTCTTTAAATAATTGATTTCATTCACACTTTTATTTTCTCTGACTTTGGAAGCATGAAATGCCTCCGCTAATAGAGATACCAGGGCAAGCAATTATCTTCATACTATATTTAAGCAGTACAAAACAGCCGGGAGGGAAGGGGATGATTGACAATAGCTCTATTATTAAATTACATCGCTGTTTGTTGTACAATGTTTGGAAGCCCCAAAAGAATGTAAATGTTCAGAACATTAAAAAAAATCTATATTCTATGAGATTGTCTGTTACCAACAAACAGTATCAGCAATGAATGATATATAATCTGGCCCCGACTCCAGCTACTATGACAATGCAATAAATCCAGAAACTGGAGTAAGACCAGCTAGCGGCTCCCTGGGCACCTTTTGCCTACATGTCTGGAGAAGAGGGAACATTCCGATTGGATCAAACCAATTTTACAAGCCATTATGCTAAATGCAAACAGCAATGATGCGCCAAAGATTATGGTCTCTGCATGAATTTCCTGAAAAATGGCCATCCGCCGCCCAGATAATTGGATCCTTTGAGGAATAAGGGACTTTATTGCGTGCTCAGAAAACAAGATACGCCAAGAAATACCAGACCCTCTGTGCATAACTGTAGTGGGAAGTCAGAAATTTGGAAGCAATATGGGATTCTGGCATAACTGGAGGTGAGGGGAAGAGAAAGGAAAAAGATAATTAAATCTTCACAATGAAGAACAAATATGAGACACTTGGCGTCATTGACCACTGTTTCTCCCCATAATCTGCAGAATCTTTATACTGATAAAAACCCCTTAATGTTAACTGCTTCAATGTTGAACTATGTAAATCCCAAAAATGTGTCACCAGCACAGTTCCATATGATCTATTGTTCCTTAAAAATCCGTTGCTAGATTCACATATGTTCCAGTTTGTTTGGATGCAGAAAAAAGACCAAAAAACCCACATTCAACCACTCCTTGGAAGACTCCTGTTGAATATGCACAGCTGACTTGCTGTTTCTAACATTAAGTACCTGTTCCTACTCCTTTGGATATCGGTGGGAGTTTTAACACTGATTTCCAATGGAGTAGGATTGAGACTTTGACTTAAGAACAGCCATACTGGGTCAGACCAAAGGTCCATCTGGCCCAGTATCCTGTCTTCTGTCAGTGGCCAATGCCAGGTGCCCCAGAGGGAGTTAACAGAAAAAATTATCCATCCCGTCACCCATTTCCAGCCTCTGACAAACAGATATTCCTACCCATCCTGGCTAATAGCCATAGATAGACCTATCCTTCATGAATTTATCTAGTTCTTTTTGAACCCTGTTAAAGTCCTGGTCTTCACAACATCTTCTGGCAAGGAGTTCCACAGTTAACTGTGCACTGTGTGAAGAAATACTTCCTTTTGATTGTTTTAAACCTGCTACCTATTAAATGTAGGTTCATACATAACTAGATTGGGCCTTCAGCCTTGGTTCTAAGTGAGGGGCATAATTCCTCCTCTGCTCCATTCTTGTGAAGGAAAGGCAGAAAAAAGGGGGAATTTTGAGCATCACACTCCTCAAAAGGAGTCAACTAACATCCCAAGACTGGCTTGCAAAGCAGAGAAACCACCTCTTTCCAGCCATTTACTCTCAGGGGATGTGTCTGAAGAGCAGGGGCTATGCTTCCCCCCACCCAATCTCTGCATGGGCCAAACAAGTCTGCATTAGTCCTTGTCCACTTCCATTCTACTTAGCTGAGTCAGCAATGGGGACCAGCTAGCCCATGCTGAGCATTATTTCTTGCAACCCAGCCAACTTATGTCACATTAACAGCTATTGCATGTTGCAGCACTTAGGTCTTGTTGAGTTTTCTTTGTTTCCCTTCTGCAGAAAACAGAAAGACACCTACTATTTCCCAGCAAGTTCTTCCTGATTTTATAGAATCATTGAACACTAGAACTGGAAGGAACCTTGAGAGGTCATCAAGTTCAGTCCCCTGCCCTCGTGGCTGGACCATGCACCACCTATATCACCGCGATAGATGCTTATCTAACTTGCTCCAAATTCCTCCCTCTGCAATATATTCCAGTGTTTAACCACCCTGACAGTTAGGAAATTTTTCCTAATGCACAACCTAAACCTCCATTGCTGCAGTTTAAGCCCATTGATTCTTGTCCTAGCCTCAGCTATCAAGGAGAAAAAATGTCTCCCTCCTCCTTGTAAACACCCTTTTAGGTACTTGAAAACGGCGGTCATATCCCCTCTCAGTCTGTTATTTTCCAAACCAAACAAACCCACTTCATAGCTCATGTTTTCTAGACCTTTAATAATTTTTGTTGCTCTTCTCTGTTCATCCTCAGGTTGCCCTCACTATTAACTGCAGGATGGCTGGGTACAAAGGATGCACGAGGCACCCATAAAAGTACGTTGCAATAAAATAACAACAATATTCCTGACCAAAAAGAAAGGGAAATAGGGGCATCTTCATCTCTTAGCACAGGGCTACTCAATATGCAGCCCACAGACTATTTGTTTGCGACCCACCGTGCAGTTTGGATTTACGCAGGGCTCAACATGTGGCCCACGAGTGGGAGCCAAAACAAAACAGGAGTCAATATAATGGTCTTCTGTTGCTATGCATTTTAGTAGTTCAATTCCTGGGCTGTCACATGGGTGGAAATCAGGTAAATATTGCAGTTTATTGATATCAGAGGACTGACTTTAATGAGGCCTGCATGTTGTATAGTCTTGCCTTAATCTTTGTATTCATGCCCATCAGTGTGAAAGAAGCTATTTGCATAGATTTGCATATATCTGTGCATGAATATGCAACCACACTTAAGTTGCGGACTTTGGCATGTGCTATGAGTATCATTGTGGCCCCCGGGTCTTCCAAAGTTGAGTAGCCCTGACTTAGCAGATAAAAAAAATAAGGAGGCTGAGGTGAACTTAAAGTAGCAGAAGAACAGCAGGAGTTGACATAACTGAAGAAGTGGAGAGTAAAGGAAGGAGGGTTGAGAGGAATCATAGTGACTGCAAGAGAATCGAACGAGAGACAGGAAAAGAGAGAGCGGGATAGTGAGTCTCAAATTGAGTGAAACAATTGCAGAGACTGAGGACACTTAGTCTTCATCTACACTAGGAGTTCTTCCGGCAGAAAATATGCTAACGAGAGACTCATTAGCATAAGTTGTGATCTCATTAGCATATTTTTTGCCGTTTCCTTTTGCGCAAAAAGAAGCCGCGTGGACTTTTTTTTGCGCAAAACCCCCATTTTGCACAAGATCCTTATGCCCAGGGCTCGACAAACCGTTGAATCTACTCACCAGTGGCGAATAGATTTCAGCCGGTCACGCCGCGAGCCCCATTCACCGGCGCTATGCACATGCGCATTGCTGGTCCTACGCATGCGCAGTGCGGGGCTGGTGAGTGGCTCTTGCCGGGGTTTGTCTAGCCCTGTTTATGCCTGTCCCAGAGAGGCATAAGGATCTTGCGCAAAACAGGGTTTTTTGCGAAAACCCGCCCACCCCCCGACCACACTATGCCTGTTTGTGCAAAAACCCCTTGTGCAAAAAGCAACGGCAGAAAATATGCTAATTAGATCACAATGTATGCTAATGAGTCCCTCATTAATATATTTTCTGCCAAAAGAACTCGCTGTGAAGACGAAACCTTACAGTGAAAGAAAATTACCTGGAATCCCTCTGGAGTGAGTTTGAAGAGGGAACGGTACCTAAGGAACAAAGAAAGGTAACAGAGGGGTTAGAAGTGTGATTGTGGCTATGTCTCCTCTGCAGCGCTCTATCAGAAAAAGATACGTATCTTTTTCTGATTTTTTTTAGAAAAGGCTTTTCCAACATTTGGCCAGTCTACATGGGGCCAAATGTCGCAAAAACCCTCTTCTTTCGGAACATTCCGTATTCCTCATACAATGAGGAATACAGGGATGCCAAAAGAGCACATCCACTTTTTTTTAAACTGTTCTGAAAAAGCAGAAGCATTCTGTGGATGTGGCAGAGTGTAGACATAGCGGCTACGTCTACACTGGCCCCTTTTCCGAAAGGGGCATGGTAATTTTCCAGGTCGTAATAGGGAAATCCGCGGGGGATTTAAATATCCCCCGCGGCATTTAAATAAAAATGTCCGCCGCTTTTTTCCGGCTTTTAGAAAAGTAGGAATAAGAGATCCTACGGAAAAGGGCTTTTTTCCGGAGGATCGGGGCCAGTGTAGACGCTCTTTTCCGGCTTTTCTAAAAGCCGGAAAAAAGCGGCGGACATTTTTATTTAAATGCCGCGGGGGATATTTAAATCCCCCGCGGATTTCCCTATTACGACCTGGAAAATTACCATGCCCCTTTCGGAAAAGGGGCCAGCAGATTTCCCTTTTACGACCTGGAAAATTACCATGCCCCTTTTGGAAAAGGGGCCAGTGTAGACGTAGCCAGCCTGTAAGAAGAGAGAGATTAATTGGGTAGAGGAGAGACAGTAACTTGTGCCTCAAAGCACAGAATAGGAGACGCAGGAAACATGAACTGGAGACAGCGGAAGGATAGTTTGAGAGTTAAGAGTGGGATGCAGGAGATCTGGTTCAATTTGTGGCCCCCTCACAGACTTTGGGAAAGATATTTAGGGCTTGCCGGATGAACAGTTAGGTGTGTACAGTTAGTGTGGAGTGCACTACTGTGACATTCATGGACTCCGTAACTGTGTAATTAAAATCCCCTCGTGCACGTTTAACTTCTCTGCTCTGAAATGGGAGTAGATCCATGTACACAAGGGACCTTCCAGTGCACAAGAGTAAGAGCCACACGGGCAGTGAGTGCACAGCAGGCTAGTGTGCTGTAGATTTATTCCCCAGTGTAGTAGGGTATTCACTCCACTCCAGGCATAAAAATGGTTAAAACAGCCTTGGGAGAGGGCTGTAGCTAGGGGCCAGTCATGAGAGGCCTTGCGGCAGCCAATCAGAGCCCAAGAGGGCTACATAAAAGAGATGGCTGGCCAGGCTGAGTGCACTCTCACTCCAGCCCTGGAGGGAGAAGGACCTAGCTGCCCACTAGCCAGGGTAGCATGGACAGAGCAGTGCTGGGAAAGTCAGGGTGAGCCAGGGGAGATCCAGCCTGAATAGTCCTAGACTGAGGCTTAGTGACAGGGGCCTGAGAGATACTTGGACTTCAGGGAGGCACTCAAAGGCAGCAGGTCCCCACCCCCTTGCTTATGAGGAGTGGCCGTGTCAGATTGCAGTTTGCCCCTAAGGTTAGGGGCTAGATGACGACTGGCAGTAGGGACACTGAGGCAAAGTGGGTATAGGTGGGTGGGGGGGGAGGTCCTGTGACGGTGGACCCAGAGCATGAGGGCACTGCTGTGGGGCAGTACCCAGAGGGAAGGGTGCCACAGTCTGGGAGGGACATGGGTCCTAACATAAGGCAGCACAGCCATTAATAGAAATCAGGGAATAGCAGGTGAGACACTAGCTGGAGGAGGGCACTCCACTGTTGAGTAGAGCTAATTCCCAGAGTGACCAGCAGGGGGCACCATGGTGGTGAGTGGTGCAGTTTTACACCCATCTACATGGTTTTAGTCTATAAAGTGCTACCAGACCATTTGTTGGTTTTTTTTTTGTGATCCCAGTGTAGGCAGCCCCTGAGGCTACATCTAGACTGCATTGCTTTTCCGGGATACTGGAGGTCCAAGGAATGCGTCCAAGGAATGCGTCCGCTTTTCCAAAAAATGTTTTACAAAAGCAGACATGCTCTTTCACCATCCCTGTAAACCTCATTCTACGAGTAGTAAGGGATGTGTCGAAAGAGCACTTTTCCCAAAATGTGGCACTGTGTAGATGCGCCACATTTCAGAAAAGCCTCTTTCGAAAGTAAATCGGTAAAAGATACACAATTTGCATACCACAAATTGCATTTCTTTTTCTAACTTAACATTGCAGTCTAGACCTAGCCTGAGTCTCTCTTTGCCTTAATCCCGCTCTGAAAAATGGATCTAATGAGATTTCTATCTTGTCTATATGTAGACTGTGAATGCTTCAGGACTGTCAAATACTATATGTTTGCACACTGCTTAGCACAGTGTGGCTCTGATTTCAGTTGGGGGTGCCACTGTAAAACAAATAAGATTCCTACAGCCAGGGATGAGGCATTAAGTAGCCTTCAATACCCATTTTTGGAGGAAACACTGATCAAATTTAATCATTCTTTTGCTGTAATTTTGTGCAGTGCGGCTGGACACTTTCTTGTCTTAATATGCTTGAGAAATGTCACCTTGAAATATACTTGACCGGGGGATCATGACGTAACACAGTGATGCTGAATGACTTGCCATTTCATGGAATAACTTTACTCAAAATTAATTAGAATGGGATTGTTATTTTCTTTGCATAGAAATCCATGGGAAAGGATGATAGGAAGAGTAAACAGCTACATTTATTAAAGTGAAAGGATTTAAGATTTTTTTTTTTGAGCTATGCTCTCAGTCGCCTAAAGGCATCTATCTTGTCTTTTCAGTAGACGGTATAATTAGTACCTGTGTGTAAACTCTAGTGCTGGAGCTTGATAAGAAGTTAATCTTCTGGGCACCACGTGGGGATGTGCCAAAGGGTCCAATTAAAATGATAAGCCGTCCTGTCCTAAACAGCCCCAGAGTGCGTAGCTATGCTAAACAGCAGTTGTACCACTCTGCTTCATAGGTACTGCAGTTCAGTGGAGGGTGATTCCTGCATTTGCCGAGTGTGGACATGGGTCAGAATGAGCCAAGAGGACAAAAGCCTAGATCCTCAAAGATATTTAGGCTTTGTTTCAATGGGAGTTAGGAACTAACCTGCCTTTGAGAATCTGGGCCAAAGCGCCTATTACACTGACTGTGCAGAGGAGAGAGCCACTCAAATTGAAACCTCAGCACCAGTGAAATCCAAACTCCGAAGAACACTTTTGCAAATAGCCTTTATCCGTGCAATAGGCCAAACAAAACCTTTGGATCTGAACACTCTGTGTTCAAACCCAGCTGTGGAATGGAGTTCTGTGGCTTCGGTCAATCCAGGCACTATCCATCCTGAGGTCCGTTGCCCAGGCAGTTAGCTCACCATTTGGGAACATGAGCCTTTGGGAATCTGTCGATCAGCTTACTGATCTGACTAGGGATGGTGAGTGAAATACTGACCTGATCATGCCGCCTTCCTAACACCCCCATCATTCAGCCACCAGTGAGACTCAATCCCCCTAGATTGCATGTGGCAGAGAGGCAGAGAAGGAATATATGGAATACCCTCCTGGCCATGAGCAGTGGGTGTAAGCCCAGGTGGGGAAGGCAAGCCCCAGCCATGTCCCGCCCCTTTCACCTGAGGAGCCGCCCCTGGAGCCAAGCCCTGCCCATACCAGCCCAATCCTTCCAGGCCCCATGGAGGGCTAGGGCTGCCATACTGTGGCCCTAGCACGGCCCTCCCTAGGTCCCCACTCCCTTGCTTATGAGGCGTGGCCGTGTCAGATTGCAGTTTGCCCCTAAGGTTAGGTTATGAGGAGTGGCCGTGTCAGATTGCAGTTTGCCCCTAAGGTTAGGGGCTAGATGACGACTGGCAGTAGGGACACTGAGGCAAAGTGGGTATAGGTGGGTGGGGGGGGAGGTCCTGTGACGGTGGACCCAGAGCATGAGGGCACTGCTGTGGGGCAGTACCCAGAGGGAAGGGTGCCACAGTCTGGGAGGGACATGGGTCCTAACATAAGGCAGCACAGCCATTAATAGAAATCAGGGAATAGCAGGTGAGACACTAGCTGGAGGAGGGCACTCCACTGTTGAGTAGAGCTAATTCCCAGAGTGACCAGCAGGGGGCACCATGGTGGTGAGTGGTGCAGTTTTACACCCATCTACATGGTTTTAGTCTATAAAGTGCTACCAGACCATTTGTTGGTTTTTTTTTTGTGATCCCAGTGTAGGCAGCCCCTGAGGCTACATCTAGACTGCATTGCTTTTCCGGGATACTGGAGGTCCAAGGAATGCGTCCAAGGAATGCGTCCGCTTTTCCAAAAAATGTTTTACAAAAGCAGACATGCTCTTTCACCATCCCTGTAAACCTCATTCTACGAGTAGTAAGGGATGTGTCGAAAGAGCACTTTTCCCAAAATGTGGCACTGTGTAGATGCGCCACATTTCAGAAAAGCCTCTTTCGAAAGTAAATCGGTAAAAGATACACAATTTGCATACCACAAATTGCATTTCTTTTTCTAACTTAACATTGCAGTCTAGACCTAGCCTGAGTCTCTCTTTGCCTTAATCCCGCTCTGAAAAATGGATCTAATGAGATTTCTATCTTGTCTATATGTAGACTGTGAATGCTTCAGGACTGTCAAATACTATATGTTTGCACACTGCTTAGCACAGTGTGGCTCTGATTTCAGTTGGGGGTGCCACTGTAAAACAAATAAGATTCCTACAGCCAGGGATGAGGCATTAAGTAGCCTTCAATACCCATTTTTGGAGGAAACACTGATCAAATTTAATCATTCTTTTGCTGTAATTTTGTGCAGTGCGGCTGGACACTTTCTTGTCTTAATATGCTTGAGAAATGTCACCTTGAAATATACTTGACCGGGGGATCATGACGTAACACAGTGATGCTGAATGACTTGCCATTTCATGGAATAACTTTACTCAAAATTAATTAGAATGGGATTGTTATTTTCTTTGCATAGAAATCCATGGGAAAGGATGATAGGAAGAGTAAACAGCTACATTTATTAAAGTGAAAGGATTTAAGATTTTTTTTTTTGAGCTATGCTCTCAGTCGCCTAAAGGCATCTATCTTGTCTTTTCAGTAGACGGTATAATTAGTACCTGTGTGTAAACTCTAGTGCTGGAGCTTGATAAGAAGTTAATCTTCTGGGCACCACGTGGGGATGTGCCAAAGGGTCCAATTAAAATGATAAGCCGTCCTGTCCTAAACAGCCCCAGAGTGCGTAGCTATGCTAAACAGCAGTTGTACCACTCTGCTTCATAGGTACTGCAGTTCAGTGGAGGGTGATTCCTGCATTTGCCGAGTGTGGACATGGGTCAGAATGAGCCAAGAGGACAAAAGCCTAGATCCTCAAAGATATTTAGGCTTTGTTTCAATGGGAGTTAGGAACTAACCTGCCTTTGAGAATCTGGGCCAAAGCGCCTATTACACTGACTGTGCAGAGGAGAGAGCCACTCAAATTGAAACCTCAGCACCAGTGAAATCCAAACTCCGAAGAACACTTTTGCAAATAGCCTTTATCCGTGCAATAGGCCAAACAAAACCTTTGGATCTGAACACTCTGTGTTCAAACCCAGCTGTGGAATGGAGTTCTGTGGCTTCGGTCAATCCAGGCACTATCCATCCTGAGGTCCGTTGCCCAGGCAGTTAGCTCACCATTTGGGAACATGAGCCTTTGGGAATCTGTCGATCAGCTTACTGATCTGACTAGGGATGGTGAGTGAAATACTGACCTGATCATGCCGCCTTCCTAACACCCCCATCATTCAGCCACCAGTGAGACTCAATCCCCCTAGATTGCATGTGGCAGAGAGGCAGAGAAGGAATATATGGAATACCCTCCTGGCCATGAGCAGTGGGTGTAAGCCCAGGTGGGGAAGGCAAGCCCCAGCCATGTCCCGCCCCTTTCACCTGAGGAGCCGCCCCTGGAGCCAAGCCCTGCCCATACCAGCCCAATCCTTCCAGGCCCCATGGAGGGCTAGGGCTGCCATACTGTGGCCCTAGCACGGCCCTCCCTGGTGGCCAAGAAGCAGGGCTGCTGCACCACAGCCCCATCCCTCCCTGCGCTGTCATACCCTAGCCCCAGCTTTCCCTGCGGTGGCCTTAGACTTCGGCGGTCAGGTGTGCAGGCAGTTTTAGGAAGGCTGTGCGTTCCCTGGCCTATATTACTGGCTGCCCATGCTCCTGGCCCGACTGCCGCTGTAATGGAGAGACGAGAAAGGCCCTCTCTAAAAAAAGCAAGGAGGGTAGAGAGTCTTTTGACCAGCTCTGTGGGAAATGGAAGGCTCAGAGCCCACTTTCTGGTCTCCCAGGCTTGCACACAGAGGCTACGTCTACATTGGCAAGATTTTGTGCAAAAGCAACTGCTTTTGTGCAAAATCTTACCACCTGTCTACACTGGCCGCGAGTACTTGTGCAAGAACACTGACATTCTAATGTATGAAATCAGGGCTTCTTGCGCAAATACTCTGATGCTCCCGCTCAGGGATAAGCCCTCTTGCGCAACTGTTCTTGCTCAAGAGGCCAGTATAGACAGGAAACATCACTTTCTTGCGCAAGAAAGCCCGATGCTTAAAATGGCCATCAGAGCTTTCTTGCGCAAGAGAGTGTCTACACTGGCACGGATGCTCTTGCGCAAAAGCACATACCAGTGTAGACACTCTCTTACTCAAATATTCTAACACAAAATCTCTTGCATTAAAGAGTATTTGCGCAAAATCTTGCCAATATAGACGTAGCCAGAGAGATGTCTTCTGCCAGCCACCAGGAGGGCGGCAGGATCCATCCTCCATGCAACTTACCTTCCCCCCATAAATCCTGTTGGTCAGTCCCTAGTTCAGAAGATGGCCAGCAGGGCTGCAAATGGAAAGTGCTCCCAAACAACTCAGCTGGTGTCTCCAAAGCAAGCAGCGCCTATGAAGATTTACGCCGGGATCGGGCGTTAATGGGGAACGGGGTTGTTTTACTCACACTGTTTGCCAGAATGTATGTAGTACTGCACATGATTCCCGGGGATGCCTCTTTCTCTGCAGACTGCTACTGAGTGCCTGCTGCTGCCTGCTGGATGGATGGACGCTGGAGAGATTATTTCTAAGCCCATCCTCCTTCTCCCTCCCTGCTCTTTCAGGACCACACTGACAATCCCCAGGGGAAGCAGAGGACAGATGGGGAAAGGGCAGGCACCAACAGCTCCAACCTCAGTTTATTTCAGCCTCCTGAATCTCTGATAACCTATGAGGATGTCCTTTTGCAAAGGGACTGCTGGTCAATATATGGCTATATTCCCCCCAGAAAGGAAAGAGAGACAGAGGGAGAAGAGAGAGACTGAGATTTACTGGGTGCAATAGAGATTCTGCATGCAATCACTACCCTTAAAATATCCCCATGTCTTTCTGCTAACTGGTCCAGAGGAGAATCTTCAGTTTGCAGCATATGTACAGAGGAATGGGAGACCTAAAAGCAGCCGGTCAGGGTGGTAAGTAACTTTGGGGAAGGTGCTTTGGGATTTTAGTTGTGGTGGTGGGCTGGGGAGATTAGTTATTCATGATTGTTGCAGATCAAAGGAAAAAAGAGGGTTTTGCCCTTTACGGAGGAGTCTGCAAATCAACCCATAAACTGGGAGAGTATTTTGGTCTCTGGGATTGTGCATACACTGAAGTTTTCTCTGGCTGGGCACATTGTACCTACGTCCTCTCTGTCATATGCAATGAACAGTGGAGAATAAATAAAGCAGCTCATCATTTATAAAGCACTTTCCAAACACTCAGGAGAGGTAGAGACGGAGGGAGTGTAGTGGAAGGAAGGAGGAATTTCAATCTCTATACATTTCAAGTTAAAGTAATTAAGAACTGGGCATCCAGTTGATGGTGAGTAACTTTCACTTTAACAACTAGTAAGCAGCTTCGTTTAGCCGGTACATATTTAAGTGTTTATAGAAATAGCAGAGGTATGCGACAAGCAAGTACTAACAAATGCAAAGACAGGGCTTGTGACGAAAATTAGCTCTAAATGCAAGAGCCTCATCTGTTCACTTTAGGACTTGCAGCCATCCAGCGCTCTGCAAGAATTATGAATGGGGCTTCATTTTTTTCTGTCTGTGTGTTACCAGAAAACTAATGACAGGCTGCAGATTTCAAAAAGAGGCAGAAGGTGACTTTTATACACACACACACACACTTTGTGAATGTCTCAGGGAGGTATCCAGTGATACTCATTATAACCTTGTTTGTGTTTCTTTCCTCTACCCCCATCTTTTGGTGACAGTTAACCCTGCTCTGATGCCATCATTTCGGATGTCCCAGTGAGAACTCTCAGAGATGCCGATTCTCTCAGGAGGCAACAACCAGGACTATAGTAACATTAGCTACGGTTCCTGTAGTTCTTTGAACCATCTTTTTCCCATCTCTGTGGACACCCCTTCTGTCAAAGGGGTTCACTATCAAAGGGCCAGGAGGATTTACCATCCAGATCAGATCTGTACGGTTGACACAAAGAGGGAGATCATCATAAATGTCGGAGGAATCAAATACCTCCTTCCTTGGAGCACCTTAGACAATTTCCCACTGACCCGGCTCAGCAAGCTAAAGTTTTGCAGCAGCTACGATGAAATTATTCAGCTGTGTGATGACTATGATGAAGACACCTGTGAGTTCTTTTTCGACCGGAATCCCAACGCTTTTGGGATGATTGTCAGCTTTCTAGCAGCAGGAAAGCTGATGCTCTTACGAGATATGTGTGCCTTGTCATTCCAGGAGGAGCTGAGATACTGGGGAATTGAGGAATCCAACTTGGAGAAATGCTGCTTCCGAAAACTGTTTCAAAAACTGCAGGAGCTGGCTGAGCTGCACAAGGAGGAAGAGATGCAAACAAGCAAGGAGAACACATGTGTCTTGGTCGAGAGAACCAAATTTGAACAATTTATGAATAATCTCAGGGATATGGTTGAAAATCCTCAGTCAGGACTCCCAGGAAAAGTCTTTGCTTGTCTCTCCATCCTGTTTGTGGCCACCACAGCTATAAGCCTTTGTGTTAGCACAATGCCGGACTTAAGAGCCGAAGAAGATAGGGTAAGTCAGTCCCTTTTTCATTAGTATTACAACCTTCTATAAACCTACTGCAGTGTTATAAGAAGCAAGCCTGTTATTGTTAAACATGCCTAACAAAAAAGATACATGATCCTTGGAGAAAATCCTCAGGACATAATGTCAACATTTGCCTGTATTCATTGTTATGATTGTAAACAGAAATAAACTTTTGAAACTGACTTTGTATCAGTTTCAAAGCCATTTTCAGTCACAAAGAATTAAACAAAATGTATTGCTTGCCAGCCAGAAATAGAGAAAAGGCTTTCAGAATGGAATCAAAGAATTAAGCTCCTACAATCGTTCATGCTGTTCACTTTGTAACACAGCATTTCCCCCACCTCACCTACAACTTAAGAAAGAGTTGTTAACAAAAGTTATTTTATTTGCTGCTAGCCATTAGTCTCACACACTTAGTCATAGCAGTATTTCATCTATAAAGATGCCAGGGAAAATAGCAAGTTGTCTTCTGTTGTGATAACTAGATCAACTCTGATGTAGTCATTATTTTAGGAGACTTGAAATATTTTTTTCTAGAATAATACTCTTACATTTGTTTTGTACAATGATAACACAACAAGATATACAACAATAATACAGACGTGGATTTTCAAACTTTGCCTCCAAAATGGATGGACAAGTTTTGTGTCTGTAGTACTTTGCATCTGGACACACACATAAATTTGCAGGAATTCTCATAAAGACTGGCTGAAATTTTAATTCAATAAGTACATATAAATCTTCTCTAAATACATCTCTCAAAATAATTCATGGCAAATAAATCAAACTTATACCATATGTGGGAGAAATGTTAATGTTTTAAAGATATATCATTCTAATAAGAAAATGGATGGAGTTAAACATTTAATGTGATTTTAAGTATATAACATCCAAACTAACAGTGGATTCTTCCACCTCTTGTATCTACAAACTGCTTTTGAAACTTGTGACAGTTTTCAAAATACTGACGTCAAGATTAAATAAAACAAGCCACAGTCACTTTTTCTCATTGATGCTTTAAAGAATCAATTTCTCGTACATAGTTTACTGAAACCATTTCCACATTTATTGCACAATATGCTGCATACATTTTATTGTCCGAGTAGTAATTCAGGAAGGCACTGAGTGCAGTCCTATCAAAGATATGCCCTGATATTTGATGTCTTTCAATAAAGATAAGGACGGCACAGAAGACTGGGATTAAAAGAGATTGTTTTCTGCTCTATGTAAGCTTTGCATTTCTACTCACATTGATTCAAAATTTGAATTCCTTCAGTAATTGCTCTGAATATGTAGTAGCCCCCACCCCAAGCTATCACATCTTGAAGTAAAAGTAGTTAAGATGCTTCAGAGCCTTTTCAAAGAAGCAGCTTTAAATACAGAGCATCTTTTTATGGCCATAAGCAAAATGGACATGAAGACTTCTAAGGGAAACATCATTGCCCATTAACGTTGTTTCTAAAAAAGAGCATGATACATATTTATCTCAAATTCAAAACATAAACAAGAAAGCACACCAATGGAGGGGGGGTGGGGAAAGGGAGCAACTGTCCAGAGCCGTGGGCCCTTTAAATCGCTGATGGAGTGCTCTCCAGGCAGCTCCGAGGTCTGGGGTGAGGCATGCCACGGTCCAGGCAACACTGAGGGCGGATTGTCCAGCTCCGCCCCTTTCGACCAATGCCCCGCCCCTTCTGGGAGTGCAGAGTCCTGCCCCTCCCCCCCCCCCGACCTGTGAGGCTATTGGCTTTTTTGTAAAAAAGAGAACTCTTGCAAAGTATTTCAAAAGAAAAATAAGAAAAAACATAGTGTGTGTTTTGGATCTCAACTAGGTCTAATTTGCCGTATTTAAAAAAATAACTTTATCTTTAGAAGGTAAGAGTTTTGAGCATAGGGATACAAAGGTAGCTAGTAGTAAGGTAGCTAGTAGTAAGATACAGAAGAATCATTTCAGTCAGAGTGTTCTATAAAATATAGCTGTAAATGAGCATAGGGTTTTTTTCTATATAAGCAGTGTTTTAATGTGTAGATACTTTAAAACAGGCCGGCACAACTCAGAAAGCCGCCGAGTTGCAATACTCCAAAGAAAACAGCTGTGGGCCAGAAGTAAGGTTGCCAGATGCTCTCCCAAAAAATACCGAACACGCGGGCTAAAACTCCAACAGCGCCAACCCCAGTGCTGCACGGGGAGTGCGGCGTTCTGACAGCGGACTGTGCCACGCAAGCGGCCACCCAGCCGAGCAGCGTGCAGGGGGGCCGAGTCCTGGACCAGAAGCCGGAAGGGGCGTGGGACCGCACGCGGGAGTAGGGCGGGGCCAGAGCATGCGTGTGTCCCTGACATCAGGGGAGATGCGCCAGCACAAGAGAGCGCCTCGTTCAAAAGGGGAGTAGAGGAGAGCGGAAGAGAGGAGGGAGGAAATATTATTTCGGAAAGTTGTTGCGGGCTGCTCAGTGAGCCCCTTTGGGCTGCATGCGGCCCACGGGCCATATGTTGTGCAGGCCTGCTTTAAAAATTGGGATTAAGACAGAAAATAATATAGACTCATACATTTATATCTGAAATGGTGAAGTATCTGAGGGAGTCTGCACAGGAATCATAGAAAACTAGAACTGGAAGGGAGGTCGAGAGGTCATGAAGTCCAGTCTCCTGTCCTCATGGCAAGACCAAGCACCATCTAGAGCAGGGGTAGACAAGCCCTAACTTTCAGCTCTTTCAGCCTCCCAACCTGTTGTCACATGTATCTTAGCTAGAGTTTGGCAAAATGGGGCAACATTATCCTTTGCTCAAAGTTAGGGCTGGTCTAGTCTGGGAACTTGTAGCTATGTCTCTTAGGGTATGTCTATACTACCACCCTAGCTTGAACTAGGGTGGTAATGTAGGCAACCAGAGTTGCAAATGAAGCCTGGGATTTGAATTTCCCGGGCTTCATTTGCATAAAGCCAGGCGCCGCCATTTTTAAATGTCCGCTAGTGCAGACTCCGTGCCGCGCGGCTACATGCGGCACGGACTAGGTAGTTCGGACTAGGCTTCCTAGGTAGTTTCACGAGGAGTAATGGTAGCTCGGAGTAGGAAGCCTAGTCCGAACTACCTAGTCCGTGCCGCGTGTAGCCGTGCGGCACGGAGTCCGCACTAGCGGACATTTAAAAATGGCGGCGCCCGGCTTTATGCAAATGAAGCCCGGGAAATTCAAATCCCGGGCTTCATTTGCAACTCTGGTTGCCTACACTACCACCCTAGTTCAAACTAGGGTGGTAGTGTAGACATACCCTTAGAGGTTTGAAAAATCTACACCTTGAAAGATTTAGCTATACCCACCTAATCCTCAGGGTAGACAGCTCTAGGTCAGTGGAAGAATTCCTTTCATCAGCCTCACTACAGTGTCTCAGAAAGTTGGATTACCTACTCGAATGGGAGAACCCCTGCTGTCAGTGTAAACAGTGTATACAGTCAAACACTACAACACTTCAAGTGTAGACAAGCCCTGAGTCTCAATATCACCTTTACATTAAATAACTGTGCAAGAGCATTGTAGGGACCAGGGACAAAGATATCAAATCCCATTGTCTGAATCAATTTTAACTAAGACTGGCAAAGCTCTTGAGCATATAAGGGGGTGAACTGACCTGGCTTGTGGAGGAATAGACAGCATGGCCGAATAATTATTTCCCCTCTGTCATTTCTATGAAGCAGTGAACTATCCCTGGACTCTTTTTGGGGCCTCAGAACAGAGTCTTAGCGAGATCTTGGCAAGTAACGTATTCAAAAAACGTTGCTTCTTGGTTGTTGCTGTGACTCATCCGCCCACAAACTGCAACTTTTGTGAATGTATTTGTTATTCAAAATTGTTTCCCGAGTGACTTCAGGAAGGTATGCTTTGCCCAGGGCATGTTCACCAGTATTCTAAGACTCAAGTCCTCCATGTCACTAACCATGCGAGGAGGGGGGCTCATTGCTTCCATCATACTAATAAGAAAGATTTTACCTCTGTTGCCACGCGTACTTCTCCGGGCTCCTTTCGGCATCTCAGCCACACTCCTGGGTGTCAGAATTAGCTGGTCTCCAGTGCCTGAAGAAAGCAAAAAGAGAAGGGAGAATAATACAAAGTGAGCTCTACTTCTGTCAGAGGGTTTGGCTGTCTCGACGCTGTATGCTCTGCAGTAACATCTCCGTCTCGCGCTAGCTAAGTAGCCCAGGAAAGGGCTGCTTGGACAAGTAGAAGAAGAGGTTGCACAACAATTTGCCACCAAAGGGAAAGCGAAAACTCAGGCTCCGTGAGGCACTCAGCCAGGTAACAAGCATCTGCATCAGCCAGTTGCCATAGTAACAAGAAAGCGGGAAGGAAGGTGGCCATTTCTACTGAAATCATAGCAACCAGGAGGGAGGATTATCCCAAAGGCACAGATCCCATTTACAGAATAGAAATAAGGAAGAGAAAATTATGGGTCTGTGTTTCCTGTAACCCCCTTCTGATGCATGGCTGAAATGAATACCCTGCTTCATTTTGTATTAGGGCTTGGCCACAGGAACAAAGAATGCATGTCAGTTCCCATGGATATTTCAAGCATAAGAACATAAGAACGGCCATACTGGGTCAGACCAAAGGTCCATCTAGCCCAGTAGCCTGTCTGCCAACAGTAACCAGCACCAGGTGCCCCAGACAGGGTGGACCAAAGACAATGATTAAGCGATTTGTCTCCTGCCATCCTTCTCCAGCCTCTGACAAACAGAGGCCAGGGACACCATTTATATACCCTGGTTAATAGCCTTTTATGGACCTAACCTCCATGAAATTATCTAGCTTCTCTTTAAACTCTGTTATAATCCTAGCCTTCACAGCCTCCTCTGGCAAGGAGTTCCACAGGTTGACTACACGCTGTGTGAAGAAGAACTTTCTTTTATTAGTTTTAAACCTGCTCCCCATTAATTTCATTTGGTGTCCTCTAGTTCTTCTATTATGGGAACTAATAAATAACTTTTCTTTGTCTGC